TTCAGTACGATAACTCTTTCTAAAATCATTGACATAGCACGCATTAATCACTCGTAATTGATCGGTCACATCTGTAAGACACTAAAGAACTATTAAAATATGGTTGATATTAGCATTTGATATTTATCAAATGCTACATTACTCTGCCTTAATTATTGTCACTCAAGGAAGTATAATAACTTACCAATTAGATGTTGCTGTTTTACTAACTAAATTTCGACAAGCTCGATATGTTCTGCTCACCTAAACCACCAACTGAATCCCATTATATACACTCATGTTCATGATGCAGTGCTCAATTGTTATTTGCACACAGATGAAGAAAGGAGTGCTGCCAAACTGAAGACAGTGAACAGTTTGAATATATTCGAAGTTTTTGTGAAGCATATCTCTGGTGGTACTTTGGACGGTAGCGTGAAAAAGGTACATCAATACTTACTTACCTATACTCACATCCTCGCAATTCAATAATGTTCTCACCTTTGTAGTGTTCTACTTGTCTGAATTTCAAGAAGCTCAGTACAAATCTTTAGGCGATCTATCTCTGCTAACAGCAGATCATCTTTCATTATCAGTTCATCGCATTCCATCGATAATCTGTGTTTTTCCGTTTGGAAAGCGATTGCAATTCATAGTAACATCAGATTCAATCGCTAAGCAACAGGCATTGAACAATAGAGAAACGAGTTTCGAACTCTATGATTGGTATCGTTTCTTCAGGTTTTCGATGAGCTTTTGTCAGCAGGTTTGAAGTGGTATGCAGAGGATGAGAATGGAACATTACGAAGTCGTGCCGTCGAGTATTTGGCACAGCATGGTTCTTTTGAGATTTTGAACGCTCTCAAAGAATGGGATGCAAAACATACGGATTCTCAGAGTGCTCTCGTTCATTTCACATACGATAACGACAATCCACTTGTTGGTGTGATTGAACATTGGATTCGATTCGGTGAGCACGCAAACATTCTGAATTCAGCTAACACTAAGCATTCTTCGTCACATAGATAAGCGATTAGCATTGCTAGCAAGTACGGTTAGCAGCGAAGTCGTAATCAAATTGATCTTCAGAGTGCATACACCTAAAGATACATTCACGATGGAGTTCAGTGCAGAATCGCACTCTAAATCAATCGTTGACCGCAAACCATTTCTTTGAAGTTTGCATGGATTCTTCGAAATTGCAGGACCGTCAGAGGGTGCTAAAACGTGGCTACGTATTTTCGCCGATAAATTTGGTGCGAACACTTTAATGCGATACGAACGTCCGGCTTTCGATGGATTAGTACCGTGGTTGGGCAATCGTCCTGAGCCAGCCTTCACTCGTATGACACCTCTAATAAGGGCCATACAAGCTAAATGTGTCACTCTTGTAACGTAATCAGTTTGAATCTTCAAATATCTTTGTTTTTTTTTTTCATTCTGTATTCATGTTCCACAATTAAATGGATCTGTAGAAAACTATTTAGTGTATACGAAAGGTCGAAATTCTATGTTAATACAACAAAGCATCAACGAATATTTTTTCTTCGTGGTGACGAGTATGAACATTTAATGAAAAGTCTGTTAGCGTTAATTAAGATTGCTCGGCGTATTGATGTGATATTTTAGATTCTTAGTGCAGGAAAAGTTTTTGAAAACGAACTTGAATCAGCCAGATGAGAATGGTTTAACACCACTGATGCATGCTTGTATGGTGAATGATGATCAGATCGTACGCTTGTTGTTCAATTCGAAATGTTCA